AGATGACATTGAGGTCCGGTTCTACGAAGATGATGAGAATGGATGGCAGGCCTTTGGGGACTTCTCTCCCACAGATGTTCATAAACAGGTGCCCTAGGGACCCCTGGCCAGGGTGGGGGCCCATCTAGGCCAAGGCCTCAATGACACTGTCTGTCTTCCTTTGGCCCAGTATGCCATTGTGTTCCGGACGCCTCCCTATCACAAGATGAAGATTGAGCGGCCGGTAACTGTGTTCCTGCAACTGAAACGCAAGCGTGGGGGAGATGTCTCTGACTCCAAACAGTTCACCTATTACCCTCTGGTGGAAGGTGAAGCAGGGCTGGAGATCCCAAGGGGGCTGGAGGGCTGGGACTGGGCTGGAAAGTCCCAAGAACTAGATCAGGGTGCCCGTGAGTCAGGTTAGGAGTGGGGAAGGCCCCAGAAAGAGGTGGTCCTAAGAGGGCTTTGGGGGGAAGGGTCATTACCAACCTTGGGACGAGGCTCTTGAGTGGCCCATGAGTTGGGGTTCTAACACCACATTTCCCTCTGCAGACAAGGAGGAGGTGCAGCGGAAGCGGAGGAAAGCCTTGCCCACCTTCTCCCAGCCTTTTGGGGGTGGCTCCCACATGGGTGGAGGCTCTGGGGGCTCGGCAGGGGGTTATGGAGGAGCCGGAGGAGGTGAGGGGTGCTGGTGGCATGAAGGGCGGTGGAGGGACAAGGGGTAAAGGGGAGAGAAGTTGTGTGGGAGGTAATCTGGGAGAGTTCAGGCTGGTGCCTCCTCTCCACAGACTGCTTGTCTTCACAGGTGGCAGCCTCGGCTTTTTCTCTTCCTCCTTGGCCTACAGTCCCTACCAGTCCGGTGCAGCCCCAATGGGCTGCTACCCGGGGGGCGGGGGCGGGGCGCAGATGGCCGATGGGGCACCTAGCGGGGATGCTCGGGAGGGAGCAGCAGAACCGAGCGCGCCCCCCGAGGACCCCCACCGCAAACCGCAAGCTCAGGAGCTGCTGCAGCGAGGTATAGCCCCCGGAATTCGGGGGGTCGGAGCGCTGGGGGTGGGGGACCTAGCCCGCGCCCGCGCCCACGCCCCCTGTCGCCCTCAGCCCGGGAGTACAACGAGCGCCTGTTCAGCCTGGCGCAGCGCAGCGCCCAAGCCCTGCTGGACTACGGCGTCACGGCCGACGCGCGCGCGCTGCTGGCGGGACAGCGCCACCTGCTGACGGCGCAAGACGAGAACGGAGACACGTAGGTTGGGGCGGGGCCGGGGGCGGGGGGAGGGCGCGGTGAGATGGGCTCCCGGGTCGGGGATCGGGATTCGGCGTCCTGTGGAAGGTCGTGGGGTGCTCTGGAGTTGAACAGACCCGCTTTCAAGTCGGGCTCGCTATGTACTAGTTCTGTTCAAGATACTTAATCTCTCTATACAGTGGGGCCTTGACTTACGAGTTTAATTCGTTCCGAGACCGAGCTCGTTAAGGAGCTCGTTAACTCAAATTACTCTATCAACTCAATGCAAAAAGTCGGCCGAGAGACAGCTGGTATCTCAAAAAACTCGTTAGTCGGGACACTCGTAAGTCAAGGCCCCACTGTACTTCAGTTTTGTCAAGTGTTAAAGGTACTTATCTACCTCAAAAGGTGCTCAGGAAGGATTCCGTTCAGGTGCTGCATTGCCCTTAGAGACATCTGGGCTCCACAGGCCCCAGCAGGGCAGGCTGTGGAGGCTGTGGGGTTTTGAGGGTAGAGGATGCTCCAACTGCTTGGGCTTGCTAAACCAAAGTCTCGATCCCCAACCCCCAGGCCGCTGCACCTGGCCATTATTCACGGGCAGACCAGTGTCATCGAGCAGATAGCCCATGTCATCTATCATGCTCGGCACCTCGGGGTGGTCAACATCACCAACCACCTGCACCAGGTGAGGGGCACCTATTGATGGGAGGCTAAGAGTTGGAAAGAAAGTGGGTCTAGGCCAGGGGCGGGCCTGGCTCACTCTGCCTGTGTCCCCAGACACCCTTGCACCTGGCGGTGATCACCGGGCAGACCAACGTGGTGAGCTTCCTGCTGCAGGTGGGCGCAGACCCGACACTGCTTGATCGGCATGGAGACTCAGCGGTGCACCTGGCACTGAGGGCAGGTGCCAGTGCCCCTGACCTGCTGGGTGCGCTGCTGCGGAGTGGGGTTCCCGCCGTGCCCCAACTGTTACACATGCCAGACTTCGAGGGTGAGTTCTTCACCTCATCTGGACCAGGGGCAAGGGTAGGGATCAGGGAGAGTAACTGATGAGTGCCTAGAGTGGACATAAGGTGTAGAGATCAGCTTGTCGGAGCCACAGTTGCAGGCTGAGTGTCCTATGTCCCTAGGGCTGTACCCAGTACACCTGGCAGTCCATGCCCGAAGCCCCGAGTGCCTGGATCTGCTGGTGGACAACGGGGCTGAAGTGGAGGCTGCAGAGCGGCAGGGGGGCCGAACAGCTCTTCACCTGGCCACAGAGATGGAGGAGCTGGGGTTGGTCACCCATCTCGTCACCAAGGTAGGAATGAGGACCATGGAGGGACCAAGGATGGTGAAGATGTAGGGAGAGGGAAAGCCAGTCAGTTGGTGCTATAATCAACCACTCCCTTGCACTCCACAGCTCCATGCCAATGTGAATGCACGCACTTTTGCGGGAAACACACCCCTACACCTGGCAGCTGGACTGGGATCCCCAACACTCACCCGCCTCCTTCTAAAGGCTGGTCAGTCTCACCTGCAGGGGCATATGAACAGGACTGGGAGGAGAAAAAGGGGTGCCTCCCACGCTCCCCACTTCGCAATCCTGTATGTGGGTTCCCATTGCACCTCCCTCTCCTAGGTGCTGACATCCATGCAGAGAACGAGGAGCCCCTGTGCCCACTGCCTTCGCCTCCCACCTCTGGTAGTGACTCAGATTCTGAGGAGCCTGAGAGGGACACCCAAAGCAGCTTCCGTGGCCACACACCTATTGACCTCACTCGCAGCACCAAGGTGAGGCCAGCCTGGGACGAGAAGTACCAGGGAACAGGGTGTCTGGGCTTAGGGATGGGGTTCAAAGTATCTGGTACCTGGGCTCAAGGCCTGGGATGGGAGTAGTGAAGGCTGAGGCTGTCTCTCCAGGTGAAGACCTTGCTGCTAAATGCTGCTCAGGACACCATGGCGCTGCCCCTGACCCCGCCCAGCCCCGCAGGTGAGATCTCTTCCCTCATCCCTAGCCCTAGCCCCCTGCTCATAGA